GCTCTGTGCCTCTGCTGGGTCACCCATCCCCTGGGGCACCAATGAGGCAGCTGCCTGCACTGATCACTTGTTTGGGGTCCAGCAGTACTGCAGCCCCCCTAGTGTCACACCAAGCCTTTCCTTGCCATCCTTGCCATGCTCTTTTCCTGGGCCATGTTCCCAGCCATGCATCCACTGCAGGACCCTTTCATTGCTGGGTGAAGCTGCTCACTTCTCAGGGCACCCTGCAGCTGGAGGACCTTCCTCTCCCCCCACCTCATTTCATGCTCTCCCTCTGCACAGACAACCTCTGGAGTGACCAGAGCCTGGAGACAGACCCCGACCTCCCCCCAGGCTGGAGGAAAATCTGTGACTCTCTGGGCACCTACTACTGGCATGTGCCAACAGGCACGACGCAGTGGCAGCACCCCGCACGCACCACTGGCCCTGGAGGGCGCCCAGAGGCTGATGGAGAGGAGACACCCCAGGGAACGGTAGGGGATGTGGGGGGATTGATGCCTGGTGTTGGGTCCCACCCCTTAGCAGGAGCCTGTTGAAGAGCCCTCACACCTGGGGCTAGGCCTCTTCATCTGGGGCAGTTAGCTGGGGATCTGGGACAGCCAGCCCTCTGGACTAGCTGGGCACTGCTAGTCCAGCCTTTCCTTGGAGCAGGTCTGTCTTTGTCACCCCAAAGCTCTGCTCAGCCCATTCCTGGCCAGGATTAACCCTTGAGAGCCTCCAGCAGGCCCCATGTTGGCCTCATCCTGGCTAAATGGGATGCCCACAAGCTGAGGTGCAAAGGGAGGAAGGGCTCCTACCTGGTGCCTCCTGACAACCTCTCTTGCTGCCCTCACCTCTTCCATCTTCTCTTCCAGGACTGCCATGCCCCCATGGCGAAGCACTCGGCGAAGGACAGGCCCATTCCCAGCCCCATGGCCTCGCTGTCCCGGAGGTAAGGCTGAGAGCCTGTGGTGCACCACTGACGCTTGACCACTGTTGCGTGCCGGGCCCTGATGATCCCAGCAGAGCAGCCCCACGTGTTGCAGCTGGCAAGACCATGCTGGTCACCTCCATGGGAAGCTTCCCAGCTGGCGGCATGGGGGTCTGCTGGTGCCAGGCCCTCCTGGTGCTTCCCTGGGTGTCCCAAGCCTGTGCTGCTAAGTGAGAGCCATCCCGTCATCACCCTGTCCCTCTGCAGGACCTCTCTGCCCTGGCACGGAGATGACTTCCAGAGCTCAGATCCTGGCTCCAAGGTACTGCACCCAGGCTGGGGCTGGCAAAGGAGGGGACAGGCAGAGGCTGGCAGGGGCAGGGGTGGGAGCAAGAGCTGGGGTGACCCTGCTGGCAGGAACAAGGAGCATGGGGGTGTCTGAAGCCCCATGTGTCTGTGTCAGTGCTTTGCTGTGCGCTCGCTGGGATGGGTAGAGATCCCTGAGGAGGACCTGGCACCTGGCAAAAGCAGCATCGCTGTCAACAACTGCATCCAGCAGCTCTCCAACAGCAAAGGCCAGGGCTCTGCCGAGAACCAGGGTGAGGTGAGAGCATGGGATGGTGCTGCCAGGCAGAGTCCCACGAGGACCATGCTGGGAGGTGGGGGGGAGGTGGGACACAGGGCAAATGCCAGTGGCAGATCAACTCTCGTCACACAGGCCATCATCTGGTGGTCCCAGGAGTGGGGCAGGTGGGTCTGACAGGGCTGTCCCTTGGGGACGGTGCCAGGGATGCCTGGGTGGGCTGTCCTCACACATGGGAATAGTATCTGGGGAGGGCCATGAGGTGGGCAGGGCTGTCTCCATGCTTGGGGCCGAGTAGGCTGGAGGGACAGGGGTGTCCTTGCCAGTGGGCTG